AAATATATATTTATAAAAAAAAAAAAAAAATAAAGTACCTCTTTTATTTCATCCAAAAAGTCATTTTCTTTTTATTTCCACGGCCTGGCCTGGTCAGTACCTAGCCGGGCTTTTTTTGTTCCAATGAATTGTAGATGAAATTATTTATTTGATTTGAAAACACAAAATGTTTTTGAAACAAAAAAAAAATCTAAACAACAAGAATATGAATCATACGAAAGATTATTATTTCAATTCCTATGATACAGAAAAAGATGATATAGAATCAAGGTGCCATTGCTTATTATTATTCTTTATTACTTTACTAGAATAAAAAAACTTGTTATTTAGTTAATTAAAATGAGTACTGGACCATGTCGGGAGCGGCTTCTGGTGAGCTTATCCTAGAGGTCTCTCGATCCTTCGAGAATCCATAAAGATGCTAGGGGGTCCCTTTCAGTGATTCCTCCTTCGGCCACGCTCCCGTTCGGGAGGGGAAAGGTATCTCGAGTTCGGTCGCTCAGGATGAACTCAATCTGCTGCCCCACCTGGGCAGTCATCTAGGCCTGGGCCGCTCTCATTTCGCTGTGGAACCCAGAGCTTTTCCAGTGGGGATGCCCCACTTTCCTTTTGCCCAGATGTCCCATCGGGGCGGAGCGAGCTGACTGTGTCCCGTATACCTTTCGCCTTTTGAGGAGCTAGGGGAGTTCGGACAGGCTTATCGGTGGCTTTGTGACGTCGACTTTCTCCGTTGACGGGGTTCTCGTAGGACGACTTTTTGTCGGAAGTCATCCTGATAGTGTCTTAATGCGGAGAACTAGTTTTCGTTTGAGGCTTCAAAACGTCGTCCCCATAGACGGCACCAACTTTGACGGTGAATTTTGACTAAGGGCCACGTGGTCTTCGGACAAGCAGTTAAGAGATGCATCGACCGAACCTAAAACCAAAGAACTTGACGTCGATGCCGTATCCTGCCTAATATACTCTGACGCTCAAGTTAGTAATCAGAGTAAAGATAGGAATGGGACACCAGAGAGTTCAGTGGCAGGTTTTTCACTTACCTGGTGTGGAGGATCGTCCTTCCTTTTATAGG